AACATACATGACGGTAAGAAATCTGCGCTGTCTTTTGTGTATGGTTAGTCGAGAACCTACGAAACGAAACCTGCATTCAGCTGGAGCCTTCTTCAGCTTCTTGGCATTCAAGAGGAAAACCAGCGCCACTGCGCTGAGGATGGCAGTGGCGATGTCCGTGTACTCGAGGTAAGTAATGTGGTGTCTGGCGCAGACCAGGTCAGCAATGCCAGAGTTAAACCCAGGGCCCTTCAGAAGCGTTCTCATGACACACCGGGTGCCCAGTTTTGACACACTTGAGCCCGTCCCTTCACAGGCTGGTGTCTACATAGGCACTTTTATAAACATCTGATTGTTGGAGCAAGGCAGACTAGGGGCTTGAGCGGCATACTTGCACAAATGATCTACCAATTGTCAAGGAACACTTAACACTTCACACTGCTCTGGGTTCAGATGGGGGGTGGAAACCTCGCCCTCTGCAAGAGAGGCGTAGAGGCTCCCGAATCCGAGTGGTTGGCAGGCGAAGGCGGCTGGAACCAAACTGTGCCTTGGCAACGGAGCCAGGCTTGCCACAAGCCATGGCTGAAATTCCTTCTTTGGGTCATGGTCATGGATTCCTCAATAGAACTCCTGGCAATGGCTGTGTAAAATCCTTACAAAAGGGATCATGTCGATGCATCAATAAGTTAAATGAATGAATGAATGAATGAATGAATGAATGAATGAATGAATGAATGAATGAATGAATGAATGAATGAATGAATGAATGAATGAATGAATGAATGACTAAATGAACGAATGACTGAATGAATGAATGAATGAATGAATCAATGAATCAATGAATGAATGACTGAATGAATGAATGACATAACCAATCATTCAATCAATCAAATCAATCAGTCAACCAATCAAATCAATTCAATTCAAACCAAATCAAATCAAAATCAGATCAATCAATCAAATCAAACCAATCGATCAATCAATCAATCAAGCAATCAAATCAAAACAATCGGTCAATCAATTCAGCAATCAATCAATCAATCAATCAATCAATCAATCAATCAATCAATCAATCAATCAATCAATCAATCAATCAATCAATCAATTAACCAATCAATCAAATCAAATCCAACTCAAATCAAATCAATCAAACCAAATCAAATCAAATCAAATCAATCAAGTCAAATCAATACATGCAATCAACTAATCAACACATGCAATGAATGCAATCATGGAATCAATCAACCAACCAATCTCATCAAATCAATGAATCAGTCAATCAACTAATCAGCTAACCAACCAACCAAGCAAGCAACCAACCAAGCAACCAAGCAACCAAGCAACCAAGCAACCAAGCAGCCAAGCAACCAACCAACCAACCAACCAACCAAATCATCTCAACTCAAGTCAGACCGACTGAAGTCAAGTCAGGCCAGTTCAATTCAGCACAGCTCAAACTCAAATCAAACAAAACACATCAACATGACTAAAGACAATGAAATTTTCGGGACTTTTGTCGCAAATGTGCTCACCCAACCACCCACACCCAGCCCAACCAGCGCAACCCACCCAAGCAAGGGACAAGGCTACTGAGACTAGACTCACATGACTGAGACCCAGCCCAGTGTCTGAGACTTGCCTCAGGCCCAGCCCGGGCAGCAACCACCCAAGCAAGGCTCACCCCCGCCCAGCCCAGGCCCTCCACCAACCAACCCTAGCAAGGCGCCCAGCCCAGCTCGCCCTGTCTGCTGGCTCCATGACCCACTCCTCGTCCTGCGCATCGCCTTGCCCTTGCCTCAGGGATTCTTGCGGGCCCATGACATCAATTGGTCCAACGACGCCAGAATCTGTCCATGCCAGCTCTGCTGTTTGCAGTCGAACCACAAACGCTGCGCGCTCCGCTGGGCCGAGGCGGGCAACGCGCAACGTTTACAATTCATCCAATCAATCAAGAAATAGGGCAATAAATGAATAACACAGGAACATCCGAATGGCATATACAACACACGATACGGCAATGGAACAAGCAACATGCAAACGCAACGCAAAATAACGCAGGGCAAAGCCAAGCAAACCAGGCAAGCACACAACATACAAGGAATGCAACAGGCGAGCAAAGATACAAAACCCCATGCAAACCAGGGAGCACCTTTTGCTGTAAACAAGAATCACAACATAAAACCCAATATATCCCAATTTTTGAAAGGACAACAAATCACGAGCGCCTGATGATGTTGACAATGCCGCCCTTGCTGGCCCAGTTGGGTAGCCCCAGCATCGGCGCCACCTAGATGTTGGGTGACAAATGGTAAGCGATGGCGCAATTTCGCCATGGCTTCGGCCCCTTTGCTTACCGGCATCACGGAAAAGGTGCCATCTAGTTTCGCCATGCTTCCCCCCTCTGGCAATTTCCTAGTGGTAATGTGACTGGTCAATGGCGACATGTTGCCGAGCAAGTCACATCAGTGTTGATGGCTCCCATTTTCTGGCAGCTGAAGTGTAACCCCCATGGTGATGGCCGTCTTTTGAAGACTTCGCGGCAAACGTCAAGTCAAGGGCTAATGACGATCTTTCTTATCCTTTGAGACTTGAAGGGAGCCTCACCTAGAAGATGCATCACGCATCTGTTAGCTATGTGGTAGCTGAGGCGGAATCAGGAACGCAATAGTTCATAAACAGGAATTTCATCCAAATTGTCGTTGAACGAATTGCAAGCGCTGTGAAGGGAGGGCAAAGTGAAAAAACACCTTGTGGTGTTGACTGCAAAAGCAAGGCGAGGGTCAAACAATCAACGAGCTACGTCGGACCCCAGCTATTGTTAAGAACCCAAGCTGTTGTTATTGTTCCTGTAACCGGCGCAGACCAGTCAACTCGAAGCAATATTTGTGAAAAGGTCTTTGACCAGTGTCCACTCCACATGTCCAGGCCGCTTCCCTCTTGGTCTAAGGCCTTTCAGCAACCACACAGGGCAGAACCCGAGCTATAACGCTCCCGCCTGCGAAAGCATGATCAAAATGGCGCTGGCTGTAATAAAGCCTCAGTGCTTCAATATCGCAGATCTCAAAGGATCGTCTTGGAAAGAGGAACCGGCTGGGCCATTCATTCCCCAGCACAAAATGAAATCAGAAAGACAAAGCCTTTTGCTTCACTCGGTTTTCTGCATTCTGGTGCTTTCGGGTGAAAGTTTGTCTGCTGGAATGTGATACAAGCGATGTAAGTGGAGGGTTCATTTTTCCTTCAACTCTTAAAGAATGTATGACACCTTTCGCGCAACTTTCGCCAGGCTTCCGCTGTATTAGGAATAGTGCTTGCGACGCTAGCCATTTCTCCCGTCAAGTTTGCTTCCATGGCAGGGGTCGCTGCTTGACTTGTGAGAGGTAGCTTCTGCAATATGGAAGCTAATGATGCTGTTTACTGATGCTACACGACGTGATCTTCCTGTACATTCTGTGCCAGGAAACAGAACCACGCCTCGTACGCAAGGTTCCGCACAAAATGACCCTTGCGCTCTCTTCTTGACCAGCAGCTATTGATGCGCCCCACGAACCGACCGAACCAGGGAACCAAACGAGGTAGCATCAAAAGTAGACTCACACGAGGACCGGTCCCAACAAGTCCACCACGCCGTGTTCACGCTCAACTCAGGGAATGCTTTGTAGAGGGCGGCCTGGCCCGGCTCTTGGTCTCATGGCCAGCGAGCTAGTAGGAGCGCAAACAGCGCAACACAAGCAGAAGTGAAACGACGGAGAACCAAACGCAACGAACCAAGCAAGCCGAAGGGAAAAAAAGAAAACCAAACAGGCCAACAAACAAACAAACAAACAAACAAACAAACAAACAAACAAACAAACAGAAATGAATAGAAGCATATCGAACCTAGGCCCCTGCTGTTGTGATTTTGTCCGGGGCCGGTGCCACTGAGCGCTGGCCGCGAGAGGAATCGCACAAGGAAGGCCAGCTGCAGGAGGCCCATCAGCGCCAGCAAGAGGCCTCATGTTTTCCATCCGAGCGTTGCAATCTATGGGTGTAGACCCCCAGCACTTTTTTTCACTGTTTGCTTTCTCAATCGCCACGTGCAGAAACATAGCTAGGCTAAGCCGAACTATTTGAGTTTTTGCAAGTAAAAAGGAAATATGAGGGGAATCCAAAAAGTTAATGTCTAAAAGTCCAACCCAATAGCAGCACAGCTATGGGTGTGCCTGCTTTTTCAGTGTACATTTCATGGGGTCATTTTTAAAAGGAAAAGCAGGAGGAGGCGAATCTTTCTTTCAAGTCGAACCCATGATATGGGGGTGTGTCAAAATAGGGGACCCCGGAAAATTGGCGGGTTTTCCTCTTGGTTTCCCCTGAAACCAAACTCAAAAAGGGGACCCTCATGGCTGGCTTTTTGTATGGCCCTTGTGACTCTAATCATCAAAGAAGGGGGAATCCGCAAAAAGCCTTCTCTTGAACATCCAAAGAAAAGGGATTGTCTTGTAAGTCCCCCGCTCGTTATGACTTGCCCAGTGAACCACCAAGATGTGCGCGAACAACGGATGCTCCGCAGGCCCTGTTGGCCGACGGGCAAGGCCGCTCGACTTTCCGAATGGGAGGTGTAATGTTGACCCAGGATTAATAAACCCGTCCCATTATTAGAGGGGGTGTTTCCTCCAAAAGTGATGAATCCCCACTAAAAGGGGACACCCCCTGATCAAAATCAACCAGGGGTTGAAAAAACCGGGGTTAACAGTAGTCAGCGCAAGACATGCCAGACTGCTCTCAAGCCGACAGATCCGATTACAAGATAACCCAAATTGCTCTTCTCTGAGCCAGCCCAAGGCACCCCCAATGACCGACCTGGCCTACAAGACACGTCAGGATTGCCACGTCATGGGTGCGTTGCTCCAGGTTGCCCCGGTCGGCCATAACCTGCGTTGACCAAGGTTTGGCGGTGTGGTTTTCTAGTATTGCTGTATTGCTCTCTAGAGCGGCAGCGGGAATCCCCAGCTGAGGCGCACTTCAGCTTGCATTGGCCGCTTCAGTGCTAACTTGGACGCATCACATCCTCTCAGGACCAGCCATACAAATGTCACGGCGCTGATGATTGGGGCGGAACCACGCGGCATGCACAAATCTCAAAAGGCTTCTCTAGCTAATGCCCAAATTGTATGCCGCGAATCATGTTTCGCATGCAACCAACCTCCTTGCTATTCATGGCGTTGGTCAATGGGGGGTTTTGGGCGCTATTCATCCAACAAGAAGCGCTGTCGCCATTTTCTCCCACCAGCACATGACATCTGACGCATCAAGACTGCACCGCAAGGATCGAGGTGCCCGAGGTGGTTCGATTGGCAGAAAGCAACCACTAGCAGGTGATCCTAGAAAAAAAATAAATGCACTCACAAAAATTCCCGTGGCCCCGGATTCATGGGCGCACCCCCTCCCGCGTAGTGCCAAGCTGAAATTCAAGTATTTTCATGGCCAACAACTATGGGTATGTGTCAAAAGTGTTGGATTTGTCTGGGATTCCCTTGGAACCAACCGAAAATAGAACAAACAACTCACACTATACGCACATTAAAAAAACACTAGCGCGATCCCATGTTCGCTAAGGACACTTACTTGGGGCCGGTAGAGGGTCATGGACCTCTTTGAGGTCAGCGCGAGATAATTGACATCCTTTGGTTCCCATGGTTCCCCTTGAACCATCCATCAACGAGGACGCGTTGAGTCCCCCCCCACCCCCCGCTCCGGGGAGCGAGCCTCACCCGTGAGCAGGCTCACAAGGCCGCCGGTGCCCACGGAGGCATGGACGCCTGAGCCGGGAAATGGTCCAAACGCTGTGACCCTGCGAGGCTCCTAGGGAAGGAACTTGCTCCATGAGGTTTCCCTTTAAAGGTTTCCCCCAAGAAAACTTGCTCCATTTAGAGGTGTCCCCCAAAAACCATCAAACCAGTGTACCCATCTTGCAATCCCACAGAACGGCAACTTGTCCAGGCCAGATGTCTAGCAGCCCACGCAAAGTGCATCTGGAATGTCCAGGAATAGCCCTGTCTCATAACTTCTAACATCTGTCAATCGCTTTGCATGTGGGTTCGCATTTGACATGGCTGCAAACCGCTCATTCTACAAGTAGACGATTCTTTCCTTCCAAGGCCCCCGCAGGTACCGAACAAGGCATAGACAATGGGAGGTAGCATGCAGCCTGGGCTGCAGGCGGAAGAACAACTCCCAGCACTCTCGCTCCATGATTCAGGGCGTCATGTTCTCATCCCAACCCAAACCTGATTTTGACCACGGTACCATTTTACATTAAGGTTTGGACACGTTCGGCAAGGGACTAGCCCGTTGCAATGCAGCAGCGCGGCTCTATCTTCGCATATAGGAAATGCCCTCAGCTGGGGGGACCACGTTGGTCCACTGGACGATTTTTATTCCGGGCATCCTGAGCATGGGCAAGACATATTCGGACCGTTGGGTTGCCAGAAGAGTTGCTTGCCACTGTCAAGCCGACGCTGTTTCGCACTTTTGCCGTGCCACGCAATCCGGGTTCCCGCCAGCTCGTTGGACATTCTTCCAGGGTGCCTTGACCCCCTTGACCCACACAATCGCAGTGAGTGGAACCTCCCTTCCCGCCGGCCGCTCCAGACTTGTTGTAAATTATTCCAGATATCTTTGACCCCTCTCCCACCCCGTGCCTTCACTAGGGCTCCCAAGGAACCACCCTCACCTCCCACAATTCATCAGTCAGCCAACTGCCTAACCGGTAATATTCAAAAACTAAAAACAAAATCCTGGGGTCAACGGGTTGTCATGAGTTTTGCAAACGCTGGAAAACAAGCAAACAAGCTGAGCCCAGCACTATCCCCCCCTCAAAGAATACTCCAAACAATTTAGAACAACTATTCCAAGGAGTGACGTAGTACCCCGCAAAGTTTTAAAGGGGTGGCCCCTGGAAAACATGCCCCCCCGATCCGAATTGCAAATGCCGCCCCGCGTGCTGCAATGAAGGGCTGAACTGAACCGTTTGCCAGTTGCTTTACAGTTGGCCTGTAGCAAGGCAAATGCTTCCTGACACTTGAGCACAAGGCGTTGCCTTTTGCAATGACAGGACACATACCCTACACCTGGCTGGCCCGTCACTGCAAAAACAACTCCTTGAATCTACTACCGAAGCGCTTGGTTGCCTGATTCCTGAAACGCTGATTCTGTGGTGATCATGCTATCTCGAGACAGGCTATATATATATATATGTCAACTTCTAGCCAACCGTTCAGAAGACAAGCATGGCGGAATTGCAATCTAGGAGCAACAAGCTGCATCTTCCAATTCGTTGGTCCTCCAGCATCTTAAATAAAGCTGCTTTTCGGATTGCCCTCAATGCCAATACCACCTCTCACTTCAGGCGGAAGGATACACAACCCATCGCCGTCCTAATAGCATGGAAGTAGACTTGTCAACTCGGAACTCTTTGGGTTGCTAAGTTTGGGCGCCTAAGAAAGAAGATGAAAGAAGCTCATGATCAAAGTGTGATAAAACCATCGAACCCGACGGACACAAAACATGAGGCCACGTGGCTGTAGGGCCCATTGATCAGGTTCACCATGCACCTCGGGGTCGGGCCGCACGCCATGTACGCCCGTCGATGCGTCAAGGGGGCTGTGAAGGGTTAGCTTCCCATGGACTGCCAGAAGGATCCCGAAAGCAGGGACCCCACTCCTGAGACACAATTCTCAGTGGAAAGTACCACGTTGTCTTCTAGCCCAGTCAGGTTCCATGTTAGCGAGCAAGCAGTCAGATGCCATGGGCAGCTGCCTTGTGGGGAAAGGAATCCCGGGAAGGAAACTGCTAGTTCTCGACATTGCCAGTCCCCTATGCCAATCATTGCAGTGCCCCTGACATCATCTGCTGTTCTAGGACTCTCTTGCTTAAGCAATCTCCTTCCAGGCTGCGCACATTCTGAAGAACATCTTTCTGCAGAAATCACTAGAGTTTGCCATCCTGCTAGCAGCATGCCAGTTATTTCAGGGAACTCCCAGCCTCAACCGTTCACGTATTCAATGTCATGTTGTCATGAAGCTGCACCCAGAGCTCTTGAGCTGGACTTCTCCTTTCACTCCGAAGCCAAATGCCTGGTCTGGGGCTGCTGCAGGTTTGCGTGGGCCAGGGACTGGCCTGGCGAAGCTCATCATCGTCCATGCAAACCAATGGTCTCACCAGGACTCCAGTTCGGGTCCGTGCAAATGGCCAGCGTCTGAGCTTCACTGACGAGTGGTTCTCCCGCGCCTATAAGGATGCACCCCAGCGTCATGGCGCCCGCGAGGTCAGGCTTCAAGTTCTCCAAAGGGTACCTGGGGAGCCAGTACAGGATGGGCATCTGCTCCAGGAGCACATCTCCCCATCCTTAGCGCAAGCAAAGCGCCGAAACTCTGCTGGCAGAAATGCCCTTCGCGCAACACAGTCAGCAAAATCATCGGGCTGTGCGCAGATCCTGGGCGACATGCAGCAGCAGCTACGCTATAAATACGAACCTGCCGGGGGCCGTGAACACTCACGCGCGCATGTTGATTCCTGGTGTGGCAGGATGATGGTGGAGGCACCGTACAGCGGGCGGCACTGTACTCATATGTCTCCATCCAAAATTGCCTCACACACATGATACATGTTATACTGTATTGTTGTGCAACTTGTTGATCAGGATGATCAGGGTAGAAGAAACCATCGGTTGTTGATACTTCGGTCGTGAGCTTTGCTTGTTCACAGCCTACCTCCTGTCTGCCGGTCTGTTTCGATCCAGTTCACACGTGCATAGGTGACGCTGCTCCCAATAGCAGGGAACACAACACTACATAACGTGCTTGCAACCTCGGAAAGAAAAGCCTGCAAGCCGTATCTTTGCGCAAATGCCTTTCAATCGCGAGAGCTTGACATGCCAAAGTGAATCGTGCCGGATTTTTGTTCGGAACATCCCTAGAAGACTACAGTAGTGTCATGCAGCTTCAACAGAACAAATTGCATGCCGATTTGGGGCACGTCACCAAGCAACCACTGCTACGCACGCCAATCAACATATCCCTGCCACAAATGCACGTCTGTTCCAACACCCCTCTCCCATTCAAAAACCAGTCTAAGGTGTGTGCCCAGCGGCCCCGTCGCGATGCCTTGGACTTCTGCCCCACCAAAGGGTCAGCGCTCATTGCTCTTAGCGGCGGAAGGTGGTGAATCAGTTTGCAGCCCAAGGAGGCAGTGGCCTTTCCGTTTGCCATCATGTTGGGGCTAAGCTGCCGCAACCAAGGTGCCATATATCCCATGTCAGCGATGCAAAGAGTTGCAGTTTGGACCTCTTCAAAACCGGGGCAAGATATCACAACAAGCATTTCGGCATTGTGTCACGCCTTCATTCTTTTCTTTTGACGATAAATCAGCTGTTGCCCTCCAAATTATGGATTCTTACAGTCCTGAGCTTGTGGGACAATGCCAATTATGCGAGTTCCACATGCCCACAGGGCGGTTTTGTCAGGCACCTGCCCCTTGCGCACTGTAAGCCAAAGCTGAGGACCGACACCCAAAAGTGTGGATCAGGCTCTCGTCACTTCGAGGGACAGAAGCGCCCTCCGTTCAACCAGGTGAGCAACACCTCCGATCAACTTGTACCAAACTGGAACTGTCTTGCACTGATGGCATTCGCTGGATTGAAACTCGCACGGGACACAGCAAAGCTGTGGGGAAGTCCCCCAGACTTGACTGCAAAGCTCGCGTATGGATTCCGGGAATCCACAGCTCACGCGGAAGCCAAAGGGGGCGAGTCCATTGCTGCAATTTTCGAGCGCCATCCCAAAGGAACGATCAACAAAATTCACCCATTCTGAAGCCAAGTGCAAAGAATGCGTTAGCACCAGTGAGGTTCTTGTACCAGGTGATGACACCGCAATGCAAAAATACAATGAATCACCCCTCTTTTACCAGCTAATTGCCGACTTGCCCAAGTTCGCCCTGTGCTGTTTGGAATCCGTTTGTGCTGCTTGTGCTGTTGGCTCAGAATGCCTCTCAACTGCAGACTTGCATAATATCGCCCCATAGCCCAAAGCCACCACCCTCTAGGTTCGGAAATTGCTGCAGCCAAACTCTTCAGGAAATCCAGGCCAAGGGCAACTGCCAAAAGCAACTCCAGAAAGGGCTGGCACGTCATTCGCCCTGTTCGAATGACAACGATACCAAGAAAACCAAACCCCCCCCCTCCGACTCGAACTGCCATCGGACTGTGCGCAGGCGCCTCCTTGCCGAGCCAGGCGCCCTCCACGGCATCAGCCAGGTTGTAGGCATCCCCTGCGGCAAGCGCCAAACGCGCCGCCACCTGCGGCAGGAAAGCAGTCGCGGTCCCATGTCCACTAAGTGCAATGCACACAGTCGCGACACAAATGTAGCAAACAAAACATGGTTTGAGCCTCTTTGGGTCCAGTCATTCAATGCAATCAAGCATCCAAAAAAAAAGGATCCCGCCCACTAGTGCCCAGCTGACAAGCTGCACTTTGTAGAAAACATATTGTTGAAACATATTTTGAGGCGCCATGCGAGAATATGAAAGCAGCTCTCTTTTACTGGGAGAAATTCCGACTATTCCTGATTGCTTCCACCCAGAGGCTCCTGATTTATTTTGGGCCCTGCGACAGCCAGGTGTTGAGACCCCCAAACACCTCCGGTGTCCAACGGAGGGGTCTGGATCTTCCACCGAAAGCCCCAGGAGCCTCCGGGCAGGACAAAAACACTTCCCCGCCCACAGGTGACATCCCTTTCAAACGTGTTTTTTGGCCAACGACTCCTGGCATGCGAAGGGCATGCGCAATTCTTCTTAGGCAAGCTTATAGCCACTCTGCAATATTCCATTCGAGTGTTGCTCGTCCGTGAAAGCTCTTTCTTGATACGGGGACTTGCTGGAATTTCATCTCCGCTCACACGGCGACTAAACAGCTGGCAAGCATTTGGGAACATCTTACACAGGCTCACAAAATGTTGCTCCATGGATCGGTGATCGGCAAGCTGCATTTGCATCCAAAAGATCAAGCATGTGCTTCTGCGTGACTGTAGGTCGACTAGCTGCTTCCAAGCCAGCTGCTGCTGTTGGTCGCAATAAGGCGTTACTATATGGGCATGTGCGTTTCCTCACACTGAATCCTGAAGTCCTTGACACGTAGAGCCTGCCTAAAAACAAAAAAACACCCTCACATGTCTGCATACATCAAGAACATCAAGTACGGCACAGGCTTGTTTCCATGATCCCACAGCGTCCGCGCGTCAAACCGAAACAGTTGACAGCTGCAACGAGGGTGCCGCATCTCAAATCACACTCCGAAATAGCGCGCGGGCACTACCAATCTTCTGGGAAGCATTGGATGCTCCTTACGCGACAACATTCCGTGCTGAATAAAAAACAACTATCCCGTGCAAGGCCCACCAAGAAATAAGGCCAAATCCAGAAACGAGCATGGAGTATTGACAGTATTTATCCTTTCATGTCCCCAAGAACCGCAGCTCGAATGGGGTACAAGATCACAACCGAACTGATCACGGCGATCACGGCCTGGTGGTTCCGGGGGCAGGACGGTGCCTTGGCCCACCTCGGGCCGCACGAGCGACGTGTGGTGGATGCGCAATTTCAAGAGTCAACCGGCCATTGGAAGCCTAGAGCAAGTTGAAGTCGTAGAATTCTTGTCTGGCCAAAGCCGGGCTTTGGAGCACTTTTTGGGTTCTGACGAACTTCACTCAAACGCCCAAGCAACACCAGCCATGGCCGATCTCAGCATCTTCCGAGCCGCGACGCAGTCCAACAGTCGCCGGAGATTGGGCACCTCCAGACCTGGCCGCAGGCTGGCGCAAGGCTCCAACTGACCAATACATCCCATTGCTCCTAACATGGGTGCCACGTCTGCGAATACATGGACACTTCCTGGACGAGTGTGTCCCAAACACAGCAGGGTCCTAGTTTTCTAATTGGCATACATTCAGCAAAGCGAAAGTGTCAAAACAACTATCATTCAATCTGTTGGCAATACATAGACCTCCGGTCCACTCTCAATAGAGAGCGACAAGTGGTGTCTGTAGCTATCCTAGTGGTTTGCCATTTCTCGCACTCTACTCATGTCTTCATAGCCTTCTGGATCCAGGAACATAGCAACTACATATCATGTAAAGTGGCACATGTGGTGAGTGACAAAGAGTTGCTGTGGACTTCGGCCATGCAACATGCCGTTGGTCGGATCACGTACATCCTAGAAGATGGCGGAACAAAGGGCAGCCTGACACGTTAAGAGAGAGAGAGGTGGGTCGAATCCGCGGGCCAAAACAAGTCCAGCGAGGCAAGAAGCCCACTGGTCTTTCGCATGGCATCCAACAACGTTGCCTTGTGGTCACGAGCCATATGAATGGGCTTGGGCTGTACTAATGAAAATCCCATTCAGATGGTTCACCACCCAACTAAAAAACAGAGAGGGCTTGTTCACCTGAAGTGGACACTGTTTGTTCTTGTTCGAACTAACACGACCTCCGACGGACCCCCAGAACCTTCTCAAAAAGCCGTAAACTTATGTGCCAGTTGTCCAGTGCTTCCGCCACAGCTCGCTGCCTCTTCACCAGCCAGCAGCACTCGATTCTCCAACTTCCCGTGAACCTGGCAAGATCTGAATCGCGGCTCGTGCCCAGCGTGCTGCCAACCTGGCAACTACCATGCAAGTTGCACAGCATGCTACAGCATTGGCTAAGCTGCATACTTCAACCAACAACAAAGCCGACTATGCACATAGCATGCCCTGACTACTCACATAGCGTACCCCAATATCAAAAAGCAAAGCACATGCCAAAATTTCGGGCCCGTATTCAATGTATTAGCAGCAGAATCTTGCCGCTGCCATGACAGAGGCGGCTGACAGAGGCGGCGTTGACAGTTCAACCCGCTTCACCCGTTGTCCCAAACTGGCAGGTGCTTTAACCTCCCCATCCCAAAAATGTGGCCAAACACAACCAAGTGCACTAGAACCAACGAAAGCCCTCGCATAGTAAGCCCACGCAGAACTAGCAAAACTTGCTCACAGACCATCCAGCAGGGGCGCACTACGACCACCCACCGCCAATGATATGCGCATACGCCTTCTCCTCTCAGCCAATATCGCAGCTGTTGTTGGACCCACCCAAAGGCGAGCACAGACCCTCCCAGCGTAGTAGCCCTTAGTGAAGCCTAAATGAACCAAAATTACCCAACACCCACCCCATCTAAATTGGGCTGGTACAGCTGAGATGTAGCTGTCTTCTGTACCAACCTGCCAGCCAATCAACTGTCCAGCCAGCCAAAAAGCCAAGCTGCCAGCCCTAAGCAGCAAACAAAGCAACCGCTGGGAAACAGAAACTCGCGCCAGCCCACCACCAAAAGCCAAACAATAGGTACTTATCATACAACACCGCCTCATTCTCTCCGCACAAATCTACGCCGGCCTCCTATAAACATGGCAAGTCATTGTGCTTCAAGAGAGAATTCCGCCTAACAATTACAGAAATGGACCGGGAGCTCCCCAAAAAGAAAGGTTGTCGTCCGAAACCTTACGATCATCAGCTATACGAGGGATGGGTAACTTGTCACGAGAGGTGGTCCCTCCGCATGGAGCGCACCCCGCCGGCTGGGCCTTGCCGGCCAGGACTTCCTTGGACGCCCAACCTGCCAGCAAGCACAACCATTAATAACTGAAACTTTCTGGGTACAAATGGAACCGAAAGAAAACCTTTCGGCCCTTTGCTTCTAGTACATCAACAGTTTGGCCCAAAGTCAGCAGCTTCAGATTGGAAGAGTGCAAACACAACAACCACGTCCAGCCAGGCATCAGAATTTTAGACGCGTGGGTGGGCAGGATAACTACACATTGTACGTTGGAAGATCAGGCAGAACTTTCGGTTGAAAAGGGCTGGCTAGTGGTAACATCTTGCTTGCTGATCAAGATAGAATGCGCCTCCCCAATCTTGGGATTATTTCTCGGGATAATGGATTTACAAACCAAACAAGTCTAGCCGTTTGTCTCTTCCTGCCTCGGGTTGTCCACTGGGACAACCAACATACTCCAAAGATCGGAACTCATAAACATTGTAACATGGGTAACCAAAAGGAAACTCCTCTACACATGATCTGGTTGGGCTGCATGTTCATTTGCAGGATGCTTGTAGCCGCAACGGCAATCACATTGCTCTCGCCACTTTTCACCCACAGTACTTCTGAGTTCCAACTTCCAAACACTAGACTGGTGCCTTGATCAGGCCCAAGTGAGTCAGAATCAAAACCCGGTATTAAAACAGTCGACCCAGAACAATGTAACGAATTGAAAATGCACCAGCACTCATTTATGGCTGGGATTACCCGGGTGTTGATTACGACTCAAGCGTGTTTTGTGGAGAGGCCCGGTAGGAAGTTCCCAGCACCGGGCTGATAGTCGAACGCGCCCTGAATTGGAGCGAAAAGGAGCAAAGCGGAGCTTGCTATATCCCATTTGGGAAAAGCACACTCACCTTTCACAGGTAAAAATAGGAACACTCAAAAAGGAACACTCAGAGGTATTACAAGGCGCTCAGCCCAACGGCTTCCTGATCAAAGGAAACCGAGATACGACACCAAGGCCAGCAGTGGCCAGCTCAGCTTCTCCGACCAGCTCCGGCTGATTGTCGATGCCAAGGCGCAGCTGTCACCGTTCCAACCTTAGCGACCCGACATCAGCATCTTTTATCAGTGAGCTGGGATGCTGGCACATTCCAGAACACATCGGTGACTCAAAAACACAAACACACAAAGGTCGTGATCACGCAAAGTGCCATGTCTACGAAGCATGGACGCATTATCCAAGCAGAATGAAAAGAAACCAAACAACAGACCACTTCATGTCAAGGTGCCACGCAGTTCCAATCGCTGGTTTTTCTATGCCACACACTTAGAAAGCTGCTAGCAGCACCAACTCACGAAACTCCAAACGCCTTTTAGCAATCTGTTTGCATCGCCTTAAGCGTGCAGGTTTCGCTTGTTCAAGGGTTGACGCCCTCACTGCCAAGACCCTTGTCTTCAGCCAGTTCCCGTTTTGACTTGGGGATCCAAACGACAAAACCTGGTGAAGCATCCAACACGCCGTTGGAAACTCACACTGTGGAACAGCCGACGGGATCCGAACCTCATCACCGTGCGTGTCAAATCCGATTCATCTCATAAGCAATGTCGCTGATATCCCCTATAGGCTACTGCAGCTAAACCTGAACAAATCGGGCAATCATACAACAAGGTCTTGCAAGTTGCAAGTAGGTGCAACTTGAAAAAAAAACTCAAGCCTGCAATAAACACATTATACAAATCTGCAAAGGAGCCGTAGAATATGCCACAATGGGGATCAATGAAAGCTTGTCCAAACCAATAAGCCAGCTTCTTTTCAGTGACCACGAGTCATTTCTTGGGTGCCGTGACCCAAGTTGAAAATAAGGTCACTTAGTCCTAAATCAAAGAGGTCACTTAAGCTTTTTAAAGGGCACTTGAACCTTCCGGAGTTGCCCTCCCCAGCAAATCCCTCCCCAGTCCGGGAAAATCGAGCCACAGCGACACGGGGCTCGATTCGCACCCTCGCTGACACTCAAATCACATGCTTTGACACTCCCAAACACCATGTTCGGGCCGTTGCGGGCCGGCCCCCAATCAAATGTGGCAGTTGTCACCCTTCGACGCGGCTAGCTGTTCGATTTCAACAGGATCCCAAACCCATCAAGCCAAAATTGGAAGCATATGAACACTCTGCCTTAAGTGGCCTTGGTTCAAAAACAGGTCAAGTGGAGCCCTTCGTTTCCGGGACACATGCGTCTCTGTGGTGTTTCAAACTCTAGAGAAACTACCCAACACTTCCACATCCATATTGCAAAACCATGTGGCCCAATGCGTCGGTTGAGCTTGTCATTTGGTCAAGGAGTGGCCGTGCTCTAAGCAAGCAATACACCGTGTGCCTGAGGCCTAAGAGCACGGGCTTGTGCTGCTTACCGCCCTCTGTCCATGATAGAAACTCAAGGCAAGACTAATCACTTGCGATTGTGCATTTTCTTCCAAGCAACAGTAGCCATTCTCGCAAACGCAAACACCACTCTCGCAATTCGTGTTGTTGAGATAGCAAGTACTTGTGCACGTGGCCGTGGTGTCGGTGTCACAGGTCATGGCTTGTCTCAGCACGTCTTGCTTCGTGAGCACCACGAAGAATTGGGGCTTGAAGGACATGGTCTTGTTGAACCTCACTGAGTCAGGGCCGCAGCTAGCATACAAGAACACACACGCACATGCCCGACAACGCCCACCCTCATCCACGCACATGCACAATCAGCCATGCAGCACATGTTAGGATCAGCAATCAGGCCGTCATCAGCGAACAGAACAATGGGCAACAGTTGACAATGCAAAGCCAAGGGTGGATATCGATCCACTTAAGCTCAAACCCCAGGTTGGCTACGCATCGGTTTGAACGCTCTTCCACTGGGTAATTTTTGTTACCCTCCGTATGGCGTCTGGCAGAAATTCGCTCTTCGAAAGGAGATTGATCTTCCAAGTACCTGTTGTACCAGCGGGAGGAAGGATCCCCCCCATACGGCAGCTGGTGCTTTCAAGGCGCGTCTCAATCAGATCCGCTTGGGCCTTCGTCACCGGCGGGCAAATGCCAGTGACGGGGTCCGTGTCGATGCCCCCGGTGATGCTGGTGAAGGTCACTTGGAAAGGGAAGGTGTATCTCCTCAAAGCAAAACACACAGAGTTCTTTGATTTTCTGAGGGTACCGCTTTAAAGGTTGGTTTGAAGGGAAACAACGAGGAACTGCCTTCTGCGCAGGTAAAGTGACACAAACTCAGCAACAAGGTCCGCGTAGTAGCAGGTTATGCAACCTGTCAGCGTCTGCACTGCGATGATTTAGCCACGTTCTCACATTTTGGGGTCAAGCTTAAGACAGGTGCCAGGCGCGGGCCAGTCTGAAACGGATAGGCCAGGTCTCAAACAACATACACGTTAGCTCTGGTACGCACTGGCATATTATCCTGGTAAATAAAGTTGTCCTCATGGGTACCGAATACTGAACACCCATGATACCCATGATTCAAGCATGGTGCCCTCTGCACAATGCTGAGGCTTGAGATTGTTCAACCCAAATTGTTAAACAAGTAGAACGCTTTTCGTCACCAACGCACAGCCACCATGTGACAGGCCTGCAAAGTTTCAGAATGGGTTGCCAAATTCTGGGGCATCTGAATCCTTTTCTCATCTGCAGGAGACTTGTCGTTCGAGCCTCAGAACAAACCCTAAACCCTAAACCCTAAACCCTGGGCAAAACAATGCACTCGGCCAGTCAGCACAGCACCTTCTGAGACCATGCAGCGCCATTGTTCAAGCCACTTGATCGGTACATGGTGTTCCGAATTCCGTCGTTGATAGGCCAAAACAAAGTTGGTAATGTCCACTTCCATATGTGTGGATGTGCTTGTCCGTGAAGAACAGCCGAAACCAAGGCCGGGCGATTGACTTTGCTTGCAGGATACTCGGCCGCGTTGGTTACGCCTTATCAAGAGATAAGAGAAACTGGCTTTCGCACCCGCCGGTCTGCCTTTTTGATTAGAGTATGCGTCTCTCAGATTCTTTGTCTCATGGATCGTTCGCGATTATCAACGCAGCTTCAACGTCAGCCGAAGGCAAGGTACGTGCCTCTAGCAACATTCCAAGCTTTCTTTCTTGCAATTAGTTTGCGCTCTCGCCACTTTCGAAGCACGGCATAGTTTTACCTCGAAAGCTTGGTTTGTTTGTGTTTCCATGTGAGATATTGTGAGATACGATTGGGTTTACCCTGCATAACCCCACCCCCCAAAGCGGCTGATTGAGATCTGCCTGACAGAGTCGCTTTGTTCTTCAGCAACCTTGAGAACACACGCAACCGGTAACATGCTGCGCGCATTCCGATCTCCTTCCGGCAATATGTCGAAATCTAAAGAAACAATTCCTCTGGAAGCAATTCAACAAAACGAATCCTCTGGCGCCGTGGTTGTGCCTCATCCTTTTGAGAATTTGAACCCTGCAAGCGAGGATCTTGGGCACAAATCCAGTGAGCGCCAGGTCGTCGCGGATGAAGTTCCTCAATCAGAAGCTCATGGATGTATATCTCTACTGCTTGGCATCTGAGCGACTGAAATGGCAACTGATACCTCTAGAGTTTGCAGCCCCAGCTCACCTCCAAACATGCCGAGCCAAGCTTGATTCACCACTTAGAAATGAGCCACAGCCAGCATACATTGTGCCCACAACTTGCGCGTACATACTCGGTTTACTTTGGTCAATGCGTGCCCTGATACTCTCATTGACTGTGTTCTGGTGTGGGATCCCTGTGGAGCCGCCAGAAATCGATGAGCAGCAAGCCGCTCTCGTTAAGTGGACGAGTCACAACTTGCAACAAGGACGTTCAAGCCTATTACGGAAACGTTCAAGGCTTCAACCGCACTGTAAGCCATTCCGTGTCATCCTCACAACAGCCTTCCACCGACTACATGCAGGCATTGGAAAAATCCAAACGCAAGACAGATAAACTGAGAGGTCAGAAACCAAAGGGTCTCTGAAGACCCGAAAATATCGTAGGTTGATTGGTCAGAACGACCTCAATTGGCCAAAAAGGCAAACATTGAAGAGCGACAATGCGTTCCAAGGCGCTGTGTTGCAGTATAAGTGCATCCAGTCGCTGTGTTGCAGGCTTTCGCGGATTGGCAATCTGAGTAGCCTGGCTGAAGGGCAAACGGGGCTCAGGGAATGCTCTGAAGTCAGACCCCTGAAAAAATGGTGGTGCTCCTTTTGGCTTTCCTTTAAAACCATCAACCATGTGTTCCTGTAAAATCAAGACACCGCCAATATGGGAGGGACGCCCAAAATGATGGTGCTCCATTTGGATTCATGTAAACCAAGCTGAAAAGGGGGTATCCTCAAACAAGCACAGACCCATGTACTGTATATAATGTACCAAAGCTGCACAAACCACAAGAACAGCCGTGGTTGATGGCTTACAGTCGGGGTATGCTAACATTTGGGCAGGACCTTAGACTGTGCCAGGGACCGTGTGCGTCGAAACTCAGAGTGGCTTCCGTGTGGAGGACCACAAAATGCCAGCCATGGAAAGCATGTAACCACAGATCTTAAGTAACTTCCGCGCACCATGCCTCTGACTCTGTCAGGCTATATCTTGAGGTTGAGTCAACACACATGCCTGACCACCACTGGTAGGAGAACAGTGGCAAGCCTAAGCTTTCTTAAAGGTCAACTGCACCAAGCAGCCGAACAAGTCGTAGCACTTGTTGCACTGCATGAAGTCTCCGCTGCGGGATCCGGGCGCCATCACAATACACCTCACAGGCGGATTCATGGTGCAAGCATAGGAATCTGTCTGCTGCTCTTCGGACCACCCAAACACAATGTAACCCGATGATGTTGGATTCGTGCCATCCTGAACTCAACAAGGTAACATCCATGCATCCAATATTTTTGTTTGCCGGATGTCTGTTGCTAACACTCTCGCCGTTCAACTCTGCACAACCATCTGACTTGCCTGTATGCAAAGTGCCCATATTCGCCAGCCGCAAACCCTTTTCGTGATGTTGCCCTGACTGGGATTCACTGCTAAAACTACAACTTCAGAGCTACTTACCGAATGCTCACCGCAGGTGCATACCCTTGACCAACTGTGCAATTTAAACAATTGTCTGGAGCAGTTGGGCGTGCACAGCTCAATTTTCGGACCACTCCAGGTGGTTGGTGTTGTTTTTCTCTAGGCTTTTCTTTCAAGCCATGAAAACAGCTGGCATTTCAAACATGTTCATTCCGCTGGGGCGCCAATCCACCTTCTGAATGTCGCTCACGGTTCGGCGCCGATGGGAGGGGGAATCCCCGTACCTCAGCAAGCGCTTCCCGTGAGCCTTTCACAAAGCAAGGGGACTGTTGCGTCGAGTGTGTTAGGAGCAATCACAACTCTTGGCTTACGCTTGGACACTGTCTATATAATTGGGTACACCCCGCCAATGGGCGGCTTACTCACAGCATGATCGTATGGTTGTGATTTGTTTGAGAACACCCTTTTCACCTTGGTTTAAAGGGAAAGCAAAAGGAATTCCACCATTTTTGGAGCCCCCCTATTTTCACACAAGCCTGTATCAAATTGCAGCTTGGAGCTCTTGTAGCTGCACGTCTCAAAGACTTACCCAAGTGCAAGCCAGCCGATATGCTCCTCGATTGTTGGAATTCACCAACATGAGGTCGTGCGTTACAAGGAACTAATGTCGCAACTCTCAGAATCCTAAAGTGCAGCCTGCGGATAACTGTGGATGAAAGTTGCTTCAAGTTGCTTTTCTTTCAACAAACCCGTTTCGGGAGTCTATCTATTGACCACATCCTCGTATTGAAACAATGGCCCTCGGTGGCAATGGCCTGGAGAGCTTTAGAATGGCCATTCTCTAGCGGATTCCTTTCGGGATTGCAGGTTCAGCGCTAATGAGGAAGCAGAATGGGGGCCGCTACGTATTCGGCCTCCCGGAACGCGGGCTTGTCTCCGAAACGGGGAACCCTCGTCGTCTGCCTTTCAAACCAAGCGCAAACAGGGTACCCTCAACAAATAACCAAACCCATGCCTGCCTGAGCTTTTGCCCCTCAAACAAGACTATGGCTCTCCATATTCCTTGCACAAAATGTAACATACTTGCAAAAGAGATCCCAACCCCCCTCCCCCATACCCTTGAGGCCTAATTGAGACCTAGCAACTGATCAAATGCTCCCCCTCCCCCCCAGCACCAAACCCCGAAAAACCCAACAACCCGAACCACCAACCTAGGCTGGAATTAGGACCCCAGCAAACCATTATCTTTCTTGCCTGCTTCGTGGAAAACATAGGGGACCACAAAAAAGTCAAAACAAAAGAAGGGGAAGCCAATTCTGGGGAAGCAACCCCCCCCCGCCCCAGGTGAGCGTCTTTTCGGTGTAGGCGTAGTAGGCCCCTGCCGCCAGCGCGGCAGTGCCCACCGCGGCCGCACCGGCGGCCACGGTGGCCGTGGAACCCGACGTGGCCGCCGTGCCCGTGTAGCCGTAGTCTCAAGCGGCCGTTGGAATCTTTCTGGGTGAATCAACAAATAGTTCACCAGCCTGAAATAAGGTGGTTTGAATGAACAATGCTCACCAGCCTGAAATAAGGTGGTTTGAATGAACAATGTTCACCAGCCTGAAATGAGGTGGACTGAATGAATTTGTTTCACCAGCCTGAAATAAGGTGGATTGAAAACTATTCCCCACATAAGCCACCATTTGGGGCGACGTGTGAGGTCGTTATAATTCACCCAGATCTTTGTTTGACCCCCGTGCTCGTACTGTGCCCGTTCCACTGGCTCTTGTTCAACAAGAGTGGAGGGGCAAAGGGGAAGCCCTTGTTGAGGGGCTTTCAATCAATTGGTTTAGAAATCAACTGAAGGGTGCTGGGGATGGGGAATCCTGTTGTTGAAACCCAAACCTGTTTGTTTCCTGCAGTTTACCTTTTGGCTTGTGGGCCAACAGAAGAGGTTGGAGGTCGACAAAAACACGTGGAGGCCTAAATGGATCCACTCTCCCACCAGAACCATCCCGGCCCAAGTGCTCGTCCACAGGGTGTGTGTGCACTTCCTAATTTGCTGGGAGGGTAGCATGTTGTGGTGGTAAAGGGAGCTGTTGACAATGTCAATTGAAGCAATGGGCTGACTTATCCCACACACAGCTTTGAAACCTGCAGCGCAAAGGCCATTTTAACTTGTTGCTGATGTCACCAGTGCCTGAACCGTGCGTCCATTGGCCGAAATGTTGGATCTGGTCAAACAGCCACTTCAAACGATCCAAGATGTGCTGAAAATTAGTGCTGTGCTTTTGAGCATCTGCTTTCCACCTTCTCAGACTGCGAGTTTTGGTTTCTAAGTATGGCCTGTCCATAGAGAGTCTTTCAGATTTGGAGACACCAACGGCAGTCCGGCCCAACCAGTGGCCCTCTACATTTACAAGCATCATTTCAGTGGATCATCAAGCAACTCCTTCAGTGCTGCCCAAGCTTTGGAATTTGCCGCTCCGTTACAAGTAGTAACTGTTCCCTAAGATTGGATACTTTAGAGTCCTTGAGAAGCTTACGGCGCCAAGTCGCTGGTCTGCGTAGGCATGTTGCCTCCGTAGTTGTTCGCAACCCTCAGCAAAGCACGGGATGTGCTGAGGCAACAACCCTCCACAGGCTGAAAGCACAATGCCGTCTGCAGCGTACTCGCACCGAGCGAAGCAAATGCGCTCATCTACTTCAGATCGCAGCGTGCGGAAGTCAGATTATATAATGGAGACATGTGACAAGGCAAACTAGGAAAGCGAATGCTCAAGTCCGGGGCCAGGTTTGTTTTACACAATGATGACCTGCACATAAACATGTTGACTGCGCGACTTAAGCATCCATGCGGGCTTAGCTTTACAACAACTCTTGCAAAAGGAGCAATGACATTGGTCTCTGGCATGCGCCTGACGAATTGATTGCTTGCTTGCTTGCCTGCCTGATTGCCTGCTTGCTTCATTGATGAATTGATGTATTGGTGGATGGATGGATGGATGGATGGATGGATGGATGGATGGATGGATGGATGGATGGATGGATGGATGGATGGATGGATGGATGGATGGATGGATGCATGCATGGATGGATGGATGGATGGATTGATGCATTGATTGATTGGTTGATTGATTGATTGATTGATTGATTGATTGATTGATTGGTTGGTTGGTTGGTTGGTTGATTGATTGATTTATGTTTTATCGACCTATTGATAGGTTGGTTGGTGGGATGGTTGGTTGGCTGGCTGGTTGGCTGGTTGGTTGGTGGATTGACTGATTGACTGATTGACTGATTGACTGATTGACTGATTGACTGATTGACTGATTGACTGATTGATTGATTGATTGATTGATTGATTGATTGATTGATTGATTGATTGATTGATTGATTGGTTTGTTGGCTGATTGATTGCTCGCTTGATTGATTGATTGATTGATTGATTGGTTGATTGATAGATTGAGTGAGTGAGTGAGTGAGTGAGTGAGTGAGTGAGTGAGTGAGTACTTAGTTGCTTGATTCACTGGTTGACTGGTTGACTGATCGAGTGATTGACTGGTTGGTTGATTGATTGTTTGTTACTGGTTGATTCTTCCAAACAACTCTATGAGCCAACGCATGTTAAAGAATCCAGTGGAGAAGTCGAAATTTCCTGAACTTCTTGCCGTTGGCCCTTGGTACTTGCAGCCTTGAATCAATGAGTGTATGAACACGCAAGTGGCTCTTCAACAGCATAAAACGGTCGAACCCGATATGTTCATTGCCTCTTCACCGGCACTGGGGCCAACACACAGGAGGGTCGTCTGGCGTTGCGTTTCAATACGTCAATCAGCAAGTAGTTTTGGGAAAGGGGCCTTCCCTTTCAAATCAACCATGAAAGAAAGACAGCCCTCTTTCCCATCTGGAGGTTTGGGAATGGGCACATGCGTAAGTAGTTTCCTGTGCGAATGCTTGGTGGCAGTATGACTCCCATCAATTGCAAGTGAACCAGCCAGGTGTCCCTTGCTGGAGCGCGTCATATGTATCAAACAATTTGAATGCTTGTCCGATGTTCCTATGGCTCATCATCTTGATCAAGCCCGTAATTTGCTGCACAACACATATGATATGGTGCAAACAGGTGCAGGATGCTCAACTTCAGTTTACACCACACCCCTTTCCTGCTTCACAAAAATGCAAATCGCACTTGCCGTCAGGCTTGAGATATCACCCGTCCTAACCTTCTAACACAAGTTCTGAACAAAAACTCACCTCCTCTTCTCGAAAACGACCCTCGAGTTTTGCGTCGGCATGTCCCCAACTGAGGGAATCACGCGCCTCCTGGATTCATACATCCCAAATTGTTTTGAGGAAACTTCAAGGCACTGTTGGGCGCTAGTCCCAACGAATCAAGTGCATTAATCAATATTGCCCAAGTGCCAAACAGTGACTAAGTACTCCGCCGAACACTGAAGGTACCCGCGAGGCTCCTGAACATCCGTCTCAAGGGACCCTTCGTCTTGTCCCGTGGTTGTTTTGAGGGTACTCCCTTTGTGTCTTGCTCCAACTCCTTGAATCATGGCTCACAGCTTCATAGGGGTGACAAAATGCAGACCTGCATTTAGAGAACCCTTTGATAAAGCCAGCACCAAATGACAATGACAATGCTGCAATGATCCCAAGCATATTGTGATTGTGGGGGTTGAATTCCGGCACCCCCACAGCATGTTCCGCCACGGCGCGCCGGGCGGTTGGAGTAGCCATATGCCTGCGCAGGCTCGCTGCGCCGGCGGCGAAGCGAGGTGGACGTACTACGCCGCCGAGGGGTGGTGACGTACCTGATTGAACAGGTGTCCGAGGAACAAGACTCAGGAATCCCTGTATATGGCTACCAAAAACACAACCGGGACCCGACAAAGCATCACCACACCGAAACACCGTGGGAACGCTAGCGGAATGCCAGCACAGCACCACGACACCACCAGAAACACAACAGGGTGAGGACACCACCGACGCATCACCAAAACACCACCAATACACCGGGACAGCACCCCACCAAAACACGACTGCAACCACCCAAACACAACACTGCCAAAACACCACGACCGGGGGTAGCTGGGCGCTAATTGGCAGCAGGTAAGGTGGTGAAACCTCATCAAACGCGAGGTTCAGTGCACCAAAGGCTTGTTGAATCAGGTGGTGATCAGCCATTCCTGACACGCGCAGGGCTTTTGGCTCACAGTGGCTTAACCGCAAAAATGCATTGCCTGTTCATTGTCCTGCAGCTGCTGGTGATGCTCAAAACATGACAAAATTGCCTACGGCTGATCAAGTATGGCTGAGGCATATCAGGTGTCATGACTGTCAGACTGTGAGCATCTTGCTTATCATACAAACACGGCTGCTCAAGCGTTGTCACATCATAGATTGAACACTCCGATCCATAAACGTGTACATATTGTCTTGACTTGTTTCCAGTAAAATTGGAAGAGCCGGGTAGTTTCAAATATTGTGATATGAGAGTTGCCGTATACCTTCGAGCACGCTGACTTTCCCTCTCACTCTCCCTCTCTCTCTCTCTCTCTCTCTCCCTCTCTTGTATTCTCGTTATTGTCTTTATCTCTCCGTTTCTCTTCACATTCATCGGTGTTCTGTCTCACTCTCTCTCTCTCTCTATGTTGCTCTCCCCATGTTTATTTTGTCTCTCCAACTGTGTATCTTCTTCTTACGCCTGCCCTTTATCCTTTTCATCATCTTTCTCAATGCCTTCTACTTGTCTGTCGCTTTATCTTTGCTTCGTTGTCACTCTCTCTCTCTCTCTCTCTTCCTCTTCCTCTTTGCCTTTCTCTGCCCATTCTCTTCCTCTGTGTCTCTTCTGTTTCTCCTCAATGTGTCTTTATTGTGTTCCTTTGATTGCGCGATTTTTTTGTTTTTTTTTTTGTTTTTCCTGTTCTGATATTATGTATCGCCTTCTCATTGTTTCTCTTGTTCCCGTCTTATTTATATTGTGCTTTGTTTTTCTCTTGTTGACTTCTCTTCATTCTCTTTTCATCGCTCTTATTATGTCTCTTTATGTGTCTCTCTCTCTCTCGAGTTTTCTTTCTCTTTCTTTTTGTTTTGACTCTTGCTCTCTCTCCCTCTCTCTATCTTTGGGTTTATATGTCATTGTTTGTGCTTTGTCTATGTCTCTGTCGCTGCCTATTTCTGCGTCTCTTTCTCTTTCTCTTTGTTCCATTTGTTGTCTTTTCCTTTCTCTTTCTCTGTCTCTGTTCCTTTCTCCGCCCCTCTTTCTCCCTCTCTCTCTCTTGTCGTCTCTCGCTCTCTCTCGCTCTCTCTCGCTCTCTCTCGCTCTCTCTCGCTCTCTCTCGCTCTCTCTCGCTCTCTCTCGCTCTCTCTCGCTCTCTCTCGCTCTCTCTCGCCAGCCCACGCAAGTGAAACACACTGAAAGCCACAAGCTGTTTAGGTTTGCGCGTGGCAAGCTGAACAATGTAAAGAACCAAGGCTTTGGAGGTCGACTTTCCGGAAAGTCTGCAGAGATGTTGACCCCGCACTGCGTCAAATCCCTTCGCGCCAAGCTGCGACTGCCCGTCGATGCTCGTGGTGCGGCGTCGCGTCGCGGTGGGTGTCGGTGGCGGCGGGGCCGGCGCCCGGCGCCGGATTTCAACCCGGCGCCGCGGGGTTTCGCCGCGACGACGGGGAGCGTACGAGCCTCAGCCCACGGTCGGGGGATTTCGGTTGGTGAGGTTTAGAGGGAGGCCAATGTTGAAAGCGTGGGCTGTAGCGGGCAAAAATAGTTGTAAGGAATCTGTTCCATGTAATGTTTTGAAACGAGTTCAACTTGTTCAAGCAAATGTGGCACGCCGGCTAGCAAGAAACCTGGAACATTGCACTCTTGGTCCAACCCACCCCACTATGGTCTTTCCAAGCCTGCCACCAGCTCACAGGCGTCTGGTCAACGCTTCATTGATAGGCTAGGTGTCAAACGCGTACAACCTGGCAACTATGCAATGTTTGTTTGCCTCAACTCAGCAACCTCCACGGTTCACTTTCTATCGCTTTAGCTCCGGGTTCTCTGCCCGGATCTGCTTGAACGGAATTCAATGCCTTGTCCCCAACCGCTTAGAATCCTTCATGTGTCCCAGGAAAGTGACTTGAACTTCAGGCCTGCATGTTTGCCCGACTCCAGTGGAGGAGCAACAGTTCAACCCAGTTGTAAACTTAGCTAGTATAATTTGGTGAGGGTGGCTACATTCATGAAAGGAACCTTACTAACATCCCCCACTGAAAGGAGGTTAGGTCAAAGCCGCACACCGCAAATATGGGCCATTTAGATCCATTTGGCACCTATCACCTACCTACAACTATCTATCTGCTGAGGCGCTGGGCGCGGTGTACGAGCGCCGTCGGGGCTCGGTGCTTTCCCTGTCGGGGGACCGCCTGCGGCGAGTAAGGCAACGTTTCCGCGGAAATGGAAACGCTTGGGTGGCCCGCGGAGCTTTGCATGGGATGCGTCAATCATGTTGCGTGATTAGTAACATGCCTCTATTCAGCCGCAAAAAAGTGCACGCAACAAACCTGCCATGATGTAAACCTCATGCCCACTGCTCGAATGAGCTACCATCATGCCTATACATGCGTGGCGCGCTAATCCCAATCCAAAAAACAATGCTGGCACAAGGGAAACGATGTGTTCAGGGCATGCATCCGCGACTCACCCGAATCTATCAAGTGGTCGAGATGTTGGCCCGACGGGAGTGACCTGATTGCTCTGTGGGCCATATCGGCCATGTGGGCCATGTGCCTGTGTCAGACTCACTTTGCGGACTCTGGCGCATTTTTGTAGCATGTGCATTGTATGCCGAACATGCACAATCTGCAACAACTCCATTGAATGCTTGCTATATAGCGCATGGATGATTGCATCAATGCCAGCAAGCTTATACATACCGTGAGCTCCATAAGTAAATTCTTGCCCAAACTGTTCGGCTTTTCGTGAACTACAGCGCCGGTGGCCAAAACAGCATCTGCGCCTTCGGTAGCTGTCGCTGGCAGAATAGCTGCTGTAGCTGCTTGAACGTCGGCGACGTGTCTCGCTGTAGCTCACAGTCCGCCGGCGAAGGGCCGCCGTGGTGGTGGTTGTTGCAACTGCGCGTCGGCGACTGCTTGCTGTGGTTGTGGCTGCTGGTGTGGTTGTGCCAGCTGCGCGTCGGCGACTGCTTGCTGTGGTTGTGGCTGCTGGTGTGGTTGTGCCAGCTGCGCGTCGGCGACTGCTTTCAGTGGTGGTGGTGGCAGGGCTGACTCGTCGGCGAGGGCTGTAGCTGCTATAGCTACTGTAGCGTCGGCGAGGGTAGTAGCTGCTGTACGATGAATCAGGTGCTCGGCGTCGGCCAGCCAGTTGACCTGGAACAGCGATCTTGGAATATGTATATATGTAGCAAATTAACAAAGGCTAGCAACAAGGTTTTTCATTGGTAATCTTCTCTAACGGCTCTGTGGGGGCTACCAATGTCACCGAGCATGTTTGGCCAGCAAGCTTTTCCAAGCCACATTTAAGGCAGGCTTATTGGCTTCAAGCGTGGGAAAACCGGAAGAACTCATGCTGAAACAGAACCACTGATCGTTGATGTGCAACGTCTCACATTTAACGCTAAAATTCAACGAGCAACATGGCTCTCACTAGGCCGCGACTGCGCAACAGGGCAGTGCGAGCACTACAAACAGGTTGAAGACTTGCCTCAGAAGTGCTCCTGGAACCGTGCACCCCCTTGCATCATTGCCGCCTGAAAGTGCTTTACTCGCTTCCGGGCACGACTGGAATGGCCAGAGCGTAGCCTTTCAAATGTCACGCAAATTGACAGAAATCGAATATGTTGATTGATCCAATTTTGGGCCAAGCCCACTACAGGTGTAGAAAGATGCCTTCAAAGCCCTTCAATCTATCTTTGGTTCAAAGCTACTTGCCCTCTGCTCAAAAGGGAACCTTAGTACAAAGTTGCAGCGAGTCATATTTCCACTGAGGCTATGGCCAAAGCCTGACAAATTTGCAAGAACGGCACGGATCCCGACGGGTGTTTGAGCGGATCTGGCGTTTTAGCGGCTCAGGAACAGATCCCAACGTTTCACGCCAGAAATGTACTTTTGGAGGCAATCTGGTGGCAACCTGACGCGGTCTGTTTTCAAGCGGCCCACCAAGTCAGTCAGACATCCCTAGATGTGTGGCGATGGGGCAACTCTCTTGTACGTCGATTCTGCATATCACTGTAGTTGTGTAAGTGCGTAGGGCGCTGAACCCGTTTGATTCATGCGGAGCTCCCAAGACAGGTGGCTCAAACAGCCGCTTGCGTTGCCCCGCTTGGTTTGCCCACTTTAGCCCTCTGCACTTCTGCGCTCCCTTTCAAGCCCTGCTGCGATCACCTTTAAAATGTGTCAAGACGGAATAGACTCATTGAACTTTGATAGTATAGGGCCTAGGGCCCTTGCCTGCAGAACTTGCAGAAATACTGGTACCGACCGCTAGGTGTAACGGCGTGACGCGGATGTTGCGTGCGGTTTGGCGCCAAAGCCACGGGGGCTTGCTCCCTCGTCGCCGTCAAGGCGTCTTTGGACTCGTCGCCGGTGACTCGACGTGGTGCAGGTGTCTGAGGCCGTGTCATAGACGGAGTCCGTGTCGTCACCTAGCCATGCCCGATTGAGGAACGGGCAGCGTGGAACTTGGTACATGGCATGGCTTGATGCTTCAATATGTTGGTTTGATCTCTGCTGATTGCCCGGTGCTTGTGACACGAGCCTTGCGTGAGAATGCTACCCAGGATGCTAAAGCGCATAAGCTCTGAATTCTGAATCAAGCCAAAGGGATGGAAGTGCCAATTGCGCCCAGCTGCAAGTCTCGTAGCTCCAGTAGTACCCATTGCCTAGCCACGACTTCTTGGCGATGGGGCAGGAGGCATTGACGTAGCACCAGGAATCACAGCACCACTCGTGATTTGCAGAATTGCTCCTAAGCCCGCTCGCGCACAGTACATGAACAAAACTGCAAAACCTATAGCACAAAGCACAAATAAGTTGCATCCGGCGATCTCACGGACATTTGCTTTGGCCTGCTTCTCAGAGTGTGGCATTCTGTGCCTTGCTACTCAAGTGTCGCCGTTCGGCACAGGAACCACACATCTCTAGGTCAGCGGCCTGTGGAACAGCCTCAGCACTTACCCGTCTTCCTCTAGGTCTAGGTGAGTTGCTGCAACCGCGACAGACCTTGACACCACACACAATTTTGACAAAATCAGGTCTCCTAGCTGCATTCGAAAACTTCCAAGAGGGAACGCGGAATCCGCAACAATCTAGTGTCTAGCTTCGTAAGCGTGTAGTACAGGCAGGCGTGCACACATGAACGTCTGCGCAGGTGTGCTTGTGCGTGCGTGTGCGTGTGTTTGTGTGTGTGTGTGTTAGTGTGAAGGTGCGCTTGCATATGTTTGTGCGCGTTTACCTGCATATCTTCGAAACCCATGTCAAGTTTGTATGCGTTCATGTTTGTTTCTTTGTTTGCTTGCTTGCTTGTTTGTGCGCTTCCTCTCTTGCTTGCTTGCCTCGCTTTGCCTTGCTTTGCCTTGCTTCTCTGTGTGCTTGCCTGCCTGCCTGCCTGGCCTTTCACTTGCCGCGTCCGGGACGAGTGGCCAGCCGCTGTCCGGGTTCTGGCTCCAGGTCGCCGCGCAGTCAACCATGTCCCAAGCCCCGCAGGCGCTGCCGTAGTTCTCCGAGAAGGAGGAGCCCAGCACCCCTGGCGGTCAGAAAACCACACCGAAAGAAAGGTCCTTATAAGAATTGGCCCAAAAGGCGAGGTCTAAAACCACCAAAAGGGGAAATACAGAGAGCCCTGCACAAAGAAGCTGGTGCCAGGTTGAGGGGCCGAATGGATCCCTGCACATTTCTCGGCGCAGAAAGTTGGCAGGAACCTCTACATCTTGAGAAGCGCGCCGAAATCAGTTGGCACTGTCAAATCACGGTATCGTTTGGTGTTCTTGAGAAATGTCAAACTACGAGAACCAGGTGACAGCGACAGAATGCCAAGGACACCTTGTACAATATTGTATTGTTGTGTTGAGAGGATTTCAAGGAAACCAGCTGCTTCTGGTGGTGGTGCTAGCAGGCTGAGGATGTGCTCATGTTCATCGGACATGGAGGCGACATTTGCATCACTCGGGAAATCCCCTGTCAAGTGGGCATCCACAAGCTTGTCCGTGTCCTACGTCAATTTGAGAGGCCGCCCAAGACATGCTCAGCAGTCCTTCCATGGTCTTTGGGATGGAAAGCATACTGCACCACCACACCCTGCAAATGTGGTTGGGGCGCATCGTAGGCGACTGGCAATTACTATGTTTATTGTCTTCTTGCAGTCAACTGCTGCCTGTGCTAGGAGAAGCACAAACCGAATCCTGACTGCCAACAGAAGTGGGATGATGTTGTGTAACCTTGCATGAAGTAAAACCTGTTCAACAGTTGCAAGGTTGCAAATTGGAATGTACTGGCTTTACACTGCCTGCGTACATGTAGGTGTATGTATATATATATATATGTATATATATATAGTAGAGGTGGAAAGGTGTATTGTACATATGCTCACCCCCCCGACAATATATATATATATATGTGTGTAAATGCAAACAGTATATATTAACATGCACATATATATATATATATATATCGTCCCTACCCATGGTCATAGGTCATGCAGGTAGCCCCCCCCTTGTATTCCGGTGGTCCTGTGGTTGGGTTTTGGTGCAGGGTTGGTTCAAGATGGGTTTAGGGTTGGCTTGTGGTTAGGGCCGGTTTAGGGTTGGTTCAGCTCAGTATACGTGGGCTCAGGGTTCCGTCTGCTCAAGTTGGGATTGATTCGAGGTGGTTTGGGGTTGGTTCGGGGTTGGATTGCTTGGGTTGCGGGAGTGGGGGGGTTGCGGGTTGCGCAGTGGTTCAGGGCTGATTGGGGGCGTGTGGGGCGGTGGGGTTCTGGAAAGAGTCCCTTGAGGGGCCCATACCTTGGGGGTGGAAGCGGGGTGGGAACAAGGGACACGGTACAACCACACGCAATACGTCCCTGATTCGCATTCACCATCGTCTCAGTACAAGCAATTTCAACACACATCCGAGCTTTGTGTGACAGTCAGCAGCGGCTTGGAGCAAACAGGTTTGCCTGCTATGCAGCGCTCTCCAGCTACATCACCGGAGCCAAACTTAATCCTAGATGAAGCTGAACAAGTAAGCAAAAAACAAACAAACACAGCTCATATCAGCTCATTTGCAGAACCGTGCTGGCAAAAACAGTGCAAACATTTGATGGCTGAACATAGCTTCCACAAGTTTTTGCAAACTTCGGCTAAGCAGCTATCGCAAACAAAAACACTGAAATGCCTGAACCATGCCCATGTCAGGGCGTCCCATCAACTTCACATGGTAGTATTCGGCGCACTGTGGCTGCGCCTGCAGGAAGTTTGCCCCGACATTCACAGGCAAGGGAGTCATACTGGCAACTGGACACGATCTCAGGATCCAACGTGCAGTTCTCCTGGGCAATTTCTCGTTCGTCTCTCAGTCCGAAGCTCTTAAATCTGAAGTCCGGGCTCTGGCCCTTTGAAGCTTGGACAGGACCCAAAGCAACACACAGCATCGCTTGACTGGACATGCGAAACTGCGCTGTTTCACGATCTGGACATGCTGGATTCGCATGTGCAACTGGTTCACGTTGGTTGTTGATACTGATTGGGACGCTGGCAGCTTGAACTTCAGGGCTCGCAAAACCTTCCGTGTAACTCTTGCGTGTGCGCATCGGCGCGGTCAGCGTGGGTGCGTGCGAAAGGTGTGTGCGTGCGTGCGTGTGTCTGTGTGCTGGTGTGGTTGCGCTTTTTGTGTGCTGCTGCGTTTGTCTGTATGTGAGTGTCTGCGTTTGTTGTTGCTTGTTTGCGTGCTGCGTGCTGCACGCGCGCGCGTGTCTGTGTGTGTGTGTGCTGGTGTGGTTGCGCTTTTTGTGTGCTTCTGTGTTTTGTCTGTATGTGAGTGTCTGCATTTGTTGTTGCTTGTTTGCGTGCTGCGTGCTGCACGCGCGCGTGTCTGTGTGTGTGTGTGTTTGTGTGTGCATGTGTGTGCATGTATGTGTTAGAGATTGCTTTTGTCTGCTTGTTTGTGTGCTTGCTTGCTTGCTTGCTTGTGTGCTTGCTTGCTTGCTTGCTTGCTTGCTTGCTTGCGTGCTTGTTTGCTCGTTTGTTTGTGTTGTTTGAACTGATTGTTTTGTTTATCGGTCCTGCGATCGCTTGTTTATACAATGGCTTGTTTCGCGCTGCTTAATTTGCTTGTTTGTCTGATTGCTTGATTGTTTGGTTGCTTGTCCGGGTGTTTTGCTTGTTGCTTTTTGGTTGTTTGTGTCTGTGTGTGTCTGTATGGTTGTTTCTGTATTTTTGATTGTTTCATTGGTTGTTTGTTTGTGCGCTTGTGTTTGTGTGCGTGCACCTGTCTGTGTGCCGGGGGTATCTGTTCTCTGTGGCTGCATGCGACGTTGTGGCTGTCTAAACGCGTAGCGTGGCAGTGTGGCCTGCTGTGGTGTGCATGTGCGTGTATAAAAACCCCCCATCCTTCCCCTACTACTTTTTTGACGTTATCGTTTTTTCCTCCTTATCGTTTTACAACGATTTCTTCAACTTGGCAAATCAAACTCCAGAATCCAAACTTTTCAGTACAAGCGCAGTACGCGAAGTACATTTCCGCAGCTCCAGCTGGAAAATCGCAACTTTGTAGTACAAGTGTGGTACGTGAAGTACACTTCCGCAGCTCCAGCTGGAAATTCGCAACTTTGTAGTACAAGTGTAGTGCGTGAAGTACATTTCCGCAGATCCAGCTGGATAATCGCAACTTTGTAGTACAACTGTAGTACGCAAAGTACACTTCCACAGCTCCAGCTCGAAATTCGCAACTTTGTAGTACAAGTGTAGTACGCGAAGTACACTTCCGCAGCTCCAGCTGCAAAATCGCAACTTTTCAGTACAAGCGTAGTAAACGAAGTACCCTTTCGCAGCTCCAGCTCGAAATTCGCAACTTTGTAGTGCAAGTGTAGTACGCGAAGTACACTTCCGCAGCTCCAGCTGCAGATTGTCAAGTCTAGTTCTACAAAACGTTATCGTTTTTTTCCTCCTTATCGTTTTACAGGGTTTTGGGAGACCTCACCACAAAAAGTCCCACCCTGAAGTAACTGCAATTGGGGGGTTATTATACAAGCCCACATGTTGTTGGTTTGTGTGCGCGCTGCAGGATTCCGCACGAGTTTGGAAACGGGTGCGAGCGCACACATTGGACGCATGGCACACTCTTGTTCTTTCATGCACGCTTGTGTGCGAGAATCTTAGCTTTGGTGTCCTTCTTCACAACACATGTTCTCTCGGCAATCTGCCACCTCCCAGTTTCTGTCAATCCAGTTGGGGGTTTGCATGATTTACATAACTGTTTGTCCTGTTCTTATGTTTTCCCTTGAGCCTCGCTCCAGAAGTGGGCCGGCCAGATGGTGGAGGCCCGAGCCGTGGGGCAGGTCTCCGAGACGTAGCACCAGGAGTGGCAGCACCACATGCCGTGGTCCGCGTTGGGGTACATAATCTCGCAAAGGAAGGCGTCGTGGGGGCCGCCTGCGATGCGAGTCAGACAGGGAACCCCCCAGCGCGACCTTTTATTTCAAAGAAGAACATGCAAATGGCGTGGCCGAGACTGGCAATGTTTTAACACCAAGAGCATTGAGCTTGCAAGAGCAGCCGGAGACTCAGCCTCAACGTCAAGGCCCTAAGTCCCAGCATAACCAGTAGACTGCTCGACAGAATCAGGTCAGGAAAAGCACCCACCAAAACTGAACCCAAGCAGCAATTCAATGGTAGAACAAGTGGTTGTTCTGCAGCTCATGGAAGCTGTTCTGCCTTCTCTGAAATGCAGCAAAAGGCACACTGGGCGCCAAAGCCCGCATGAAGGGCCACGTTGATGCCCTTCTCAGACAGGTAGCTCTCAGGAAGGCTCTCCCCGAGACATTGGCAGGCGGCTTCGTTGGTGGTGCTGGGGGTGGGCTTGTATGGACATTGAAGCATCCGAGATGCATCATCCTGGCAGGGTGGGTTCACTTGGCAACACATTGCAACTACCACAAACAACCCTGCCCCAACCAAAGCCAGGAATAAGCAGTAAGTTTGGCCACACCAGCCTGGCACGCGTTGTCTGACCAATACAAGATTCCCTCCATGCCGTCATTCAAAGATGCGATGGCGTGGGAGCACTCCTTGTCCACATAACACCAGTCAGCGCAACACCATAAGTCCACTTGGTCAGGGCTATAGTTCACCGCGCAGTTTGCCATGTCCCACGCCCCGCATGAAGAGCCATAATCACTGGGAAACCTTGGCAGCAATGCGCGGATCTGTCAACGTGCTTACTTCCTGTTTAGTACCTCAATTGACGATTCCCAAGACTGAACAGTTGCTCGTGGCGGCATCTCCTCGTTCGACAAAAGCAAGGCAAAACAATCGAGATTGGTCTCGCAACACTTGCAAGCCTGCTTGCCGCACAAGTGCATCAAAGCAACTTTGAATTCATGGCAGTGTTGAAGAGACTGGCCCTGTTCTTGCAGGTGCACGGATCGTGCTTCTTCGCCTCTTGCGTCCATGTGCATGGAGTGACGGGGTCGACACTATCGCAGGCCGCATAGCCTTACTGTATCACAGCATCCCACAACACTTGGCAGAAAAGGCTCGACAGGCAGCGAAAGGTGACTCATAACTAGTCCACAAGGCATTCAGGGCCTACCAAAACAGTGCTAAGCACAGTCCCGTGTATGTATACATATCCCGTATGAATCACATACTGCTTATATGCTGATCAGGACAGCCTGCCAAACCTGAGCATCTCATCCCAAACTTGGCGAATGAACTTCGGGGGCTCATGCTGGCTGCCACTGAAAACTTTGCAAAAAAGCTACGTCCTGAATCTTCCATTCTCAGCAAAAGCATGTCGCCAGCGAGCTTGCACCGGGCATTCCGCCTTCGTTACTGGGCGAGTGTTAATAGGACTCACGGGCATGGCCAAAATCACAAGCGCCTATTTATCTTCTCACATTCATCATCACAAGCTGGATGCTTGAGTGGAAAGAGCTTGTTCCTACCAAAGGGTGGTCTCAAGGCAGCTTCCAATTGGAACAGCTGTCTAAGGGGGTCGGCCTCACATCCAAACAACACAAAAAGCCAACGGCCATGTTTTGCTGAACGGCGAGGGATATTCATTGGGATCACAACAATCAGGAACTCCCACAAACGCATCTTGCCAACCCAACTCGCAAAAAAAAGAAAGAAAAGGAAATGCAAAAGCAAGACCAAACATAAAACATAACCGACCCAAATGCATGTTGATGGGCGCTCATGGTTGTCATTGTGTTTTCTTTGTGTTGGCAGGAAGGCTCTGGGAGAGCAACCTAAGTCGTTCCACCTAGATCTGCGAAGCAAAGCGCATGCTTCTAGCAAACTCACGAGACCTGGAACATCTAGCAAGGGCATCTGACGCTGGCGGCTCTACATATTGCATGTACAGCAGAATCCGAACGCGTGTCATCTGGCAACTGAGCTCGAGGGTTCTTCAGACGTAGCAAGTGTCCAGTCAAGGCGGCGGCAGCCTTGTAGCAGTGGTTCACTGACTGCGTCGTGACTCATCTGCGTCGTGACTTGAAGTAGCTGTATGCAACGACTGGGTTTGCTTGCAAGATTGTTTGATTGATTGATTGATTGATTGATTGATTGATTGATTGATTGATTGATTGATTGATTGATTGATTGATGGACTGACTGACTGAATATAAATTGAAAGCTGCCCCTGCTGGCGGCGTGTTCAAAGAAGTGTCCGGCGGCCGGCGATGAACTCTATCATCCCTCCCAATTCCCCCCCCCCCAGCCCGCACCATTTTCAGGCGGCCTAGCGCGGGCCTATGAAAAAAGGGGCCAGGCGGCTTCCTGGGACACAAAAACACAGACATCCCGCGCCCCACAAAGCTTAGCTTGAAATGAGCCACAAGGCCCAAGAGCTGACTTTGGAAGGGGAGCAAAAAAACAAAAAAAGCAATTAAGTGGTTGGATTTCAACCACTAAACTACAATAAGCAAAAAGGTAAACTGTTTCCCAACACCAACCATGAACTTCCAACCCCCAACCAGTCGACGCTGACGAACCGCCATCTGTTCCGAGGGGCTAAAATAATTCCCGGGCATGGCCTGGCTCTGGTAGGCGTCTGGGCACTCGCGGGAGGCGTAGCACCAGGGCCGACAGCACCAGGCGCCCAGCGACACGTCGCCCCACAAATCAGCGCAGTTGGCACTGGGCGGATCGAGGAAGGGCCCAGGGTCCAGCTCTAGTTTACTTGGTGGCTTGAAGCATCAGCTTGGCCAGTTTAGGTTGAGTTTCTCAAGGGGTGATGTTAGGGAACCTTTGGGCAGGGGACTCGTGTCGCGCTGTTCGACTCTAGATGCCTCATACACGTGCCTGTTCACATAACATTGACGCAGAATGGCTAACCTGAGCCCTGGGATCTCGAATCTGTAAAACATCCGAGGGATTTCAAGATCATGTGCTTTCGGACGGTGTTTGGGCCAGCATGTGAAACTGCACATCATCTGTGCAAATTGTTGCAGTGTATTAACCGAAAATCAGAAAATCAGGCGTGAATATGAAAGGAACCTTCGATTTATCACCCCATATTCATGCACTGGAATTGTGGGGGCTTCTGCGCAGGTGCGCGAGTACTTGCAGTGGTGCCTTGGTGCGGAATCCCTCTTGGGCATTGAGAATAGCCACAGCTCCCTGGAGGATTTGCGATCGCTAACTGTTCCCGAAATCCCGATTCAACGAGTTTGCAATTAGGCCTTCAACTACCATCAAGGCTGCCTAAGGTCAATTCAGACGACTGACATGTGGATGTTTCGTTATGTTGTTCGAATCATCGTTGATTGATCTGCTCATCTGGCATATGCCCATCACGGTGATCAGTTCGACCGTGCACCGATTCACGCTTGTCTCCACATGCTTAGCAGGGAGGAACTGCATCTGGTGTCAAGCATTGTTTCCACCGCTAAACCACTGTAAATCTCTGTCTCAGAATATGTTGCTCAAATAGTTATTCTGACTTGGTACGTAGATCATGGCAGGGCCCTTGACGACGCCCAGGGTCGGGGTTTCTGCCCATGCCCGAAGGGTTTTAGTATCCTGCCAGAGGCCGTGACATACAAAAACATGCAGGATACTTCACTGGGCATCTGCGTCCGAAGTGTTCAAACAAAGCCAAGCTTGGATTCAAGTTCACCTATGAGTAGAACTTTGGTTCCCGCGTGCAACAAACAAATGCGTGTTGGTTTAGCAGTTGGCCTCCCTGTTATGCTGCAATAGCCAGTCTGACAAAGAGAAGAAGCCAAGAAAAAAGTTCAAGCAAACTCGCCGCCTTGGGGGGGGACATCAGCATCAGGAACACTCCTCTTGCATGAATCCACAGTCATCACGGTTCCATTCACGGCAACATGGCCGCACTTCATCACACGACCTGAAAATAGGAAGACATCTGGCCTCTACCTCAAAGGGAGCCATGGCTGGATCAATCAAACAGAACATGCCTTCAACACTCCATGTGGGTATGGGTCAAACATAAACCACCGAGAAAGAAAAAAAACGCAGGTATTGGTCCATGTCTCTACTTACTAGGGTTCCATTTGGGGTACTATTTTTGACCCTCAACCATGTCGAAACACGGCCGAGTGTCTTGTCCCAGGCTTGGCATGAAGATCCATAGCTGGCGCCATAGATGCTCGACACGCTGCTAGGGATCGAAGGGTTGGTGCCTTAAAACTCGGTTCATTCCAACGTCCCTCACATCACGCTCGACAACACAAGACCTCTCGCTTTTGGAATCAACCTCAAGTTCGATGTGGGCAAAGTCCCCATGGACTGCACGAGTGTGTCCTAAAGTACAAGTGCGACTGCACGAAAGCACACATCGCAGCATTGCTTTGGCAGGACTGCGTTGGCAAAGTCTTGGCTTTGGGCGTCCGTCAGCGTTTGCAATGACAATGGAATAGGTGCTCTGGCCGGACGGTCCTTGTCTGCTTCTTGCACATTTGTTTTCAACGGGAGATTTCGAAACTTGTACTGCATTCTGTGGCACTGCTCCGTTGGGAATCCCGCAGTTTGGTCTGATACTGCTTCTGCTCGGAACAGAACAGCATTTGTTCGAGATTGCTTTAGGGTGTGTGGAAAGCTGATTTGATGTGGCTGAAGAGTGGCGGGTTTGGCAGTTTGGGCGTGTGGCTTGCGGGTAGATTCCGGGCTAAAAATTGGGTGCAGGACTTGAGAGCTCAAGGTAGCATGAGCGAGTGGTTTGTGGTGCTTGTCTCGGGATCTGTCCAGGGAACTTGGGCAGAAGTGCCGAGAAGTTTTGCCCGTGTCTTTGTCCTCTGGGGAGGCGGCAATGTCGAACCAAGTCTCTGCAGGCTGTGGGTGTTTTGACTAGGTGCAAGTATTTGATCTGATCCATGTCTGTTGCGTTGATGTTCACTCACTTTTACTCGACCCAGTGGCAATGTTGAAATGACTCCTCTGCAGTTCCGCAGGTGGCTAGCTGCTTGTTCTTGCTTTTGATTGAGCTTTTTTCGACCACTGCTCCTCCACGGTTTCAGCATGGGACTTGGTCAGCTGTGCCAAGCATGCCAATGACATTGCCAGTGATCAGGATCGGCACAAGGGCGCCATTGTGCGTGTTGTGCTTGCCTGGTCATGATCTTTAAGTGGCAGCTCACAATTCTGTTTCACCTTGCGGTCCCAAGTGAGCGACTCTATAAACCTCCCATGAATCCCTATGTCGTATCAAGTTGCTTACGCGATCTTACGCGCAAGCTTGCGCTTTCCTTACGCGACCCATGTTTTAGCTTACGCGGCAGTCAGACAGCATGTAAAGCTTACGCATCGCTTACGCGTCGGCGTTTTGAGCGTTTCCCCTCAAGAATTGCTTACGCGGGCTTCTTTTCCCGTGCAGCCGCCAGAACTGTTGAAGATGATGTGGATGACTGTGTGGAAGAGATGATGAAGAACTGCGCTCGCGAGCTTCAGCAGCTTGGCGTTGTTGTTTTTGCTGCAAATCAAGAAACCGGTTTCTGCGGTAGCGGCATCCGTCACGAGGGCTAGCGGGCAGCTGAGCTAGGCGAGCTTACGCGAACCTTACGCGCCTGCTTATGCGAGCTTACGCGCCCGCGCCCCTGTAGTTTTCCTAAATCAGCGGCTACTGAAGCCTTTGGTTGTCCTAGTGGAGGTTGCGACAGCACCTAGCATGAGCCCCAAGAGCTCCCAATCAAAGTTCTGCTTGTTGTTTTTTCCCCTAATGGTGCGCACATGCGGTCTTAGACGTCTTCCTGCAGGCAAAGTCCTCCGGGCAAGTTGCCAAGCTCGGCTAGGTTGCAACAGCACAAGCCACCAAAAAACGCATAAGCACATGTGGGACAACTCTTCCGAGCATGCTTACAAAGCTTACCAAGCAATCACGAAGAAGAGCTTACGCAGGTGCTTACGCAACATGTTTCCCCAAAAAGTGCTTACGCCCGCTTACGCCGTGCGGGCTTTTGCTTACGCGGGGCCTTGTTATGACACAACTCTTGCTTGGCATGTAACGGGGGGTTTTTAGAGCTGCTCAAGTGCAACGGCACAGCTCAATGGGGCTAACTGCCCATTGCTTCGGCATCCTCGTTTGGGCTAGCCATTTTGACCCTTGGTTCAGACCCGCATTCTTGCCGCTCACTACATTGCAAGTTTTGTGTTGTGGGTATAAGCTGTTGACTCTCATTCTTTGGTTTTCGACTATGATTGCAACCACCTTGGATCCTGGCCAGTAGGCCGTACGCTTGGACACGAATCTGATGGTATCAGACTTTTCCTTCCAAAGAAACTCTTGCAGGGATATTCATAGCTGTATTCATAAAGGGTGGTTCCCAGCACATGCTTGCGACCACACACCCAAATTTAGCCTAAGCCATCTCTAAACTCAGTTCACTGAGGCACACTTGCAGGTGCTGGGCACGGTGTTGGTCACCGCATTTAATCCCACAGTGATCTCTGGGACAACCTGCTCACCGTTGGCGTCCTCGATCCTGACTCAAAGTAAAACACTGGAGACTCGCTACCCGGCAGTGGGCTACACTGGTTGAGAATGATGGGCCAAAGGGACAAAAAGGCCCTCAGCATTTCTGGCGCACACAGCATGCCAACTGGAATTGAAGGGTCAGTGATTTGCGGCGCTCAGTGTGATGTGTGGTCCGAACATATTCAAGTGCTGACGCTCCACAAACGAGGACATCTCCATTTGCCTGGGCCGGAGCTAATCTCGCAGAACCAAGAGGAAGCCAAGGATCTGTACAGAGTGGTTTTTTGACGTGGCTTCGTGGGGATTGCACTCGTTTGATACGGCTTTAGGGAGGCCACTGGAACTAAGCGGCAAACACATGCCACGGAAGGGCAAAGTGGTGGGTTGCTGATTAAGGACATCCCTTCGTAACGCAAAGCATAGTAACCAGAACCTACCTCCACATCCTTTCCACGAGTCGACATCCGGCTCCTGAACTTCACAATCATCGCTTCTGACGACGCGCGGATGAAGCTCACAATGTGGGGCGAATTCTCATCAATTGACTGAGCGTGGCTGACGAGAAGCAATGCCACAAGAACGTCACAACACCTTTCAAGACCCTTTTCGGAAAAAATCCAGTGCCTGATTCCGAGTTCAAAGTGGGAAGTGTAAAAATGACCATGTTAAATCGATCTGCCTCTCTGTGAATCTGGTAGGGTGGGGCCACCCATTGGTTTAAACATGTTTAAACCACTGGTTGTGATGATTATTCCCTTGTAAAGGTGGTGTTTAAACCATATTTTGCCCCACCCAGCAATCCGGAGACCTTTTAACTCAGGCACTAATCAACGGAGCTGAGAGTGTCCAAGGCAAAGCCTCGATGCATTTGATCACACATTCGGCAGAAGTCGTGGCTTCTGCATTTCGTTACATTGGCGCGCGCCGCATCAACGTGAACTGAATGACAACAGTGTGGCAGAAAATAGTCAAGCGCAGGTTGTGAAACTCTACATACTCGACGTTGAAGTCAGTCAAACCAGGTGTCACCGCCACACCGCTCACTCCCTCACTCGCGGAACTGGCTTTCGATACCTAAATGAATAGAAGCTTTGTATGCGATGAACATATTATGTACCGTTGCCCACAGAGCTCATGGCACGGACGAGGTGCATAGGCTGCATAGGTCTGCATCTATGACAAGCAACACGTACCTGTTGCAAAGCCTGGCATTGATGTTCCTGAAAATCTTGCTTCTTGGAAACAGGCTTCAACTTGAACCAAGTACAGTTCTATTTGATTTCAGGAATTGGCAGCTGTTGTTTGTGCTTTTCTGCCTTAGCTGGTCGCCCAGACAAATTGGACTTCATGAGTCCAGAAGAACACTTTCCAAAGATTACACGCGGCCTGGCAACAATTCAGTTCACGCGACTATTGAGGCTATAGTGAAGCACCAGTAGCTCTTGGCGGGGCCACTACTTTAGGAAATATTGAACGCCTGAGCAGCGAAGCCTATCAAATTCCTGCTTACCCAGCTGTGCATGTTGAGGAAGAGGCTCAACACAAGCACCAAATCACGGTTTCATTAGCCAATCACAACAACGATAATCCTTCATCAATGGTTGGTACGCGCTACTCATTGCTCAATATGTACGTTTGGTGCTGCCTTTCGCACTCAAGTCTGCCATAAGCTCTTTCAGCAATTGCAAGGCCTCGCCCTTGCAAGTTGCAACTGCAACCAGTTCATACGCACCTTGC